GCAAATAATCTAGGAGGCCAAACTTCCCCAGATTTGAACTACTGAACTTCTGTAATTATTCCCTATTTTAGTGCCTAAATTATCAATAGTTATAAGCTCCTTGCTTGGGATATTGTAGAAACAATAAGACTGGACACCTCTCAGTTTGAAGAGCCTGTGACCTAATAAACAATTCTTAGGATTGCAACTACTCTACCTAACAGTTTATACAGAAGATTCCAAGAGATGCTTGAGAATCTAGGAATATTAAAAAGTCACTATTCCAGGCATGGAAATCATCCATACCCTTGATTTTTTACCTTTGTCTTGCCTCTTTGACTCCCAAAGCTTCAAACATGATTACAGATTTCAAAGGAAGAATTATTTCTGGGAAGCTGGAAACATACACATAAATACTCTGCTGATGGCTTAAAGCTGAGAATTTCAAGATTCAGCGAAGTTGGCATTGCCTCTAGATAGTTGGACCTGACCCAAGAACAAGGTGCTATTAGGCAGCATCTTATAAAGAATGAATCGCCAGGCAGCAGCAAGCTGTCCCAGTGTTATTTTCCTGAATTCACATTCAGCTTGGCAAACCTTCCTCAGAGCTTTCCAAACTAGTGAGGCTAATTCAGGTGTCCTTAAGCCTCTTCTCCTTTAGGATAGACATTCAAGACATCTCCTAATCTACGCATTCTGCACATCACCCCACTTGATCTAACCCACTCTGGTAACTTTCTAATCAGAAAACATCCTGACTTTCTTTAAATATCTTTGCACACACTGCCTCTCTCTTTCTCCAGAATGCATTTCTTATACAGCTCTGCTGCCAAAATCCTGCCCCACCTTAAGTGTTCCTTTGGAATGCTGCTGTCTCCCAGAAGCTGATTCAGTTCCCACCTCAAAGTTCCTCGGCAGGAAGCAGTTGCCTATCATTTTTTTTTTTTTTTTTTGGTCTATCCACAGCAACTTGCACTTCTTTCATACTACCAATTCAGCCTGCATTTTAAAAATATCTTCACTTCCTACTATACTGTAAATTACACAGAGGCAGAAGCTTCATTTAGTTCATATCTTTATGCCCCATTGTGTCAAAATATAGAATACATGCTCCATAGATTAGTCTTGAATTGAATAGGGATGCCACAGCCTCAAAACAGAAAGTCACTAGAGAAGCCATTTATTTATTTCCTTTTCTCCTGTGGATTATGGACTGAGAGAAAATTTTTGAACAAAATGAAAGAAATGACAAACTACATATAATATTCGAATGCTGGAGATGTGTAAGGAAGAAGTATAGTTTGAGAAATCATAAGCACATAATAATCTCAGAGGATCTTTAATCAATGTCAAACATTTAACACGATGAGATCTTAATGTGAGGATTTCTTAATACACAGGATTGGGGATAACACAGTAAGATAATTAGCTTTCTAATCAGTGGGTGAGCCATTCAGTGAAGGAATTAAATGCTCCTGTGTAAAGATTTTTTTTCTAAAATTCCTCACGCTATTTTCACTTTGTATACTGCCTGCTAGAAATCATTATGCATTTTGTCAGTTTTAACACTTCATGAAAGTTACATCTAAATACTGCTATTGGTTTTACTATAGCTTTACAAAAATGGCTTAGAAAATTTCTACCTACTGTAATAATCAGGTAACTTCTCACTTGTTCAATAATTAATCTATAACATGCAGTTTATTTTAATAAATAGATTAAAAGCTAACATAATATTTAGCTAATATTGAAGAAGGTATGAAATGAAAATGAAACTAGGAGGTAATTGTATGATAGATAATAAAGAAACAGAATGCTTAATTAATACTATAAACACAGAGGTATAGGTGGAAATCAGATTTTTTAAGGGAAAGGGCAATAAAACTTCAAAACTTTTATCTGAAAGTAAATTATTTAGGATAGTCTTTCAGCTGCAGTAGTAAGAGAGAATAATATCAAAATATGATTTAAAATTTTAAAAAGTAGTACTGAGATATTTAGCTAGTCAATGCAATGAGTGAATATCACATCTATTTTAATTTAGATTTCCAAAATATAAAAGAACTCATTAGTAATACAGGGACATTAACATTTATTATTGTACTACTTCAGAATAAAATTGTGTTTCTGAGAGTTGTGGGAGAGATCACAAACCAATTTTTAGCGAGTTAAATTCAAAGAGAATCAGATCAGCTTCACTAGTGATTAATCATCCTAAAAAGCGACTTTGATAGCAATATGCAATGTCTTCATCTGATCACTGAAAAACAAAATAATATAATATTTATCCAATATGAGACAAGTCAGAAATCTAAAAATGTGTTATTCATCCTTAGCCATGATACTGTTGCTTAAATAACTTCTCCCTTTTGTTCTGTGATCCTGGCTTTTGAAGTTATTAGACTCTCATACCTTTATGTGTATATGTTATTTCATAGAAATGGCTATATTATTCAAATATACTTTTAATATTACTAGCTTTTGTGTAGCCATTTCTAAGAAGCCAGTTAGTAACCCTGTTGTTAAGCATTCTTTAGCATATGCAAAACTTCATGATCTAAAGGAATTCAGTGAAGTCCATGTGATCAATTCCAAGTGAAAATATACCCAGGTTCACTGGGAAAGTCTGATATTATATAATAATTTTTAAAAATTGCACCACCAATGTTGTAAAATAATTTCATAGATGGCAATGAGAAAAATGAAGGCAATCTTAAGACATACCCAATTATTATAATGTCTATTCAGTTTCTTGGAGACTATAAATTCTCTTCTCTGCTGTTCAAATTATTTAATACTGAATAATGAGTCATTAACATAGGCATGATATAAAGGATAATGTGACTATCAAAAAGAAAATCATATTAGGGGCATACTATGAAAAAGTGTTTTTGAATGATAAATGGAAGATGCTAGGGAAGAAACATTAAGTATGGCAAGATTACATAATTCAGAAAATAGAGAAATGGCATCAGAATTAGACACTTAGTTCAAGTCTAGGTGTATGTAAGTCTTCCCAGATAGTTACCCTTGGATAAGCCCAATTACTTTTTTGAGCTTTGGAATCCTTAATTCTGTATGCCTTATAAATCTGTGAAAGGACTCTGTGAATTAGAAAATTTCCTACAACCAGAATTTATCAGTATTAATTTAGGTTTGTGGAATTATTCTGCTAGTTGGTCAGAGTGACATTGTAAACCCTTAGGAAAGTAAGCACAACTTTCATATAAGCTTCCCTGAATACCAATTTTTTTAAACAAAATATGGCAATCTACATAAGGTGAACAAAAAGGCGTTTAAAATTTGGTTCTTTAGTTTTATTTTTTAACAATTTTAAAATGTATGATATGAAATAATATGACTACTATGTAACTTCATGAAGTAAGACTTAAATATATCATATTCAAAATTTAGTCATTTAAAAATGTCATAATTTAATTTGTACATAAAAAAGGGAGTGAAAAATAAATTGTTCTTCTTGAAGTGGAATATCCCATTCATAAAACAAACAAAAATATCTATTTTGAACCAAGGAGCCGTAAGTCAGCCTGTGTTGTACACAATTTTGTGTAACTCTCCAATAACAGGTAATGAAAGGTTTGAAAATGATCCATTAACATGTTGCTCTATTTCTATGTGCCACATTGACACTACAGTGGCCTTTAATAATTCTTTTTCTTTATATTCAACAAAGAATTGTGAAACAATTGTACCTTGTGTCTAATCTACTAAAAAAAAAACTGGGGGGAGACATAATCATTTCATTGACATGGAGTAATACTGCAATACATGTTCCACACAAGACTTCCTCCAGGTGGTGGCATGGTCAGATAGGGCTCTTCATTTGAAATTATTTTGTGCTCTCTCAACTCTGGTCAGTTTCAGGTGTTTCAATTAACAGCTTGGTCTTCTCTCACACCTTGAAGCAGTTAATGGCCTGGTAGGCATATGGATTTTTATAGTCTTAATAGTGAAATTATTTTCATTATGGAAAGGAAATGGTATAAAAGGTGAGAAAAGGTCAACTCCTATGTCAGTATATATTACCAAGATACAAATTCTAAAACTCAGAGAACAAAATGTAATTGGCTTAGTTCTCTGTAACTTAAGATCCTTCCATAATAAGTGGCACCTGGATAGAAGCGCTCAAAGAAAAGAAAAAAGATCAACAAAGAAAGAATCAAAAAACAAAATTATTGAGTTTATACCAGTAAATCTAACCAATAACAACCTTATTAAGTATGGAAAAACTGCTCACTCTTATTGATAGGTCATACTGTCATAAAAAGTAAAACACAAAATATTAACAGGCAAAATATTATTTTGGTTTGTAATTTAGAAGATGCATCTACTATGAGATAACAGAAATACTGGGTGTATGGATTAATGGAGGAAAAATGAAATCAAATCTAATTTTTGTATAGTAATGTATATTGGAACTTACCTAATTGTTTCTTCCATCTGATTATAAACCAGCACTGGTTCCTTGTTAACTATTTATTCCTGAGGCATATTAGGCCCAGGCAACACACAGTAGAAATTCAATAAATACTTGTTGAATTGGTAGGAGAGGCTTATCATTTTTAAATACCATGACAAACACATTTACTTCAAATTCCCTTTTATAAATACGTGCTTTCATAAGTCATGTAATATATTAAGAGAATGTTTATAAACTGAATTTTTGAAACTATTTGGCATTCTGTACCAAATTATTGTTACACCAATGGTGAATATTAAAAGCCACAGAATTGTTAGGTCCCGACTCCATGATCATTTGACTAGACAACTTATCTAAGATATCTGAAAGATTTTTTTAAGCCACTCCCGTAGAGAAACTGGTGACATTATTGTGAAGTAAATTTTTTAAAGGAATCTCATTTTACTTAAAGAGATAATTAGCAAAAACAGTTGTGATGCCACATTTGCTTTTCCAAAACAATTATAATCCGGGTCTTTGAGGTATGCAGTGTGTGACACATCGCTTCTGTGTTAATGAATTCAAGGGAAGGCAACGCCACTATTAGTAATAGCTTTTTATTCGGAGTCCTCATTTTCCAGATAGGTCACATTAAACACAGCCATTAAACAATAGCGTTGAGATAAATCCATACAATGTATGCTGCTTTTGTTGTTGTTGTCCTTGTTCACCAATCACTTGGTGCAGCTAAGAACCTTATGGAGTAATGGGGCTGATAAATGGGAGTAGCTAACCTGCAAAACACTGGGGCCAGGAAAGTCAGACTTTAATCAGGTCTCATTCAATTATGTTTCGAATCAACACATCTTGATAGCCAAAACTCTCATTTGAATTAATGCTCTGATAAATGCTGTCTGTTGTCAAAAGAATATAATTAGACCATAATGAGTGGGCATATATTATGCCAGACCTCAGTCTATTTGTTGACCTCAGCAACTTCTCCTCCATTAGACAACAAACAGCTTTAACCTGGTTCTAATAAAGCATACTGCTCTATTACTACATGACTATTTTTTTTTAATGGTGCCATTTTATTTTAAATTGAACTGTGTCTAGATCCTTTAAAGGAAGTCATGTTTTACAAGATTTCAGTTAATTTGGAAAAATAAAACAAGTCAATCTCCCAACCAGGAATTCAATTAGCTTATGGAATCAGGGGCCAATTCTTGCATGTTGCCTGCAAAACAGATAAGTCTATCAGGTTGAGAAACAATATGAAGCATTCTTTGAAATTGCATGGTATGTCTCTTAAATGTTTACTTTGGTATAGATATAACTAACTGATTCTTACTATTTTTAACTATGATGAAGATTTCTTTCACATTAACATCTGATGAAAAGTTCGTTTTGTTATTGATTTTTATTTTTTAGTTCATCAGTAAGCAAGTTTTAGAAATTGGGATTCTTACTAAATTCCCATGAACGAATTCTTTTTTTTCTGTGCTTGACTTCAGATATTTAAGAACCTAAATGACAGAGTAGTATCAAATAGTTCATTTTAAAGTGTGGGTTCTTTTTTTTTTTTTTTTTTTTTTTTTTTTTGAGGGGTTAGTATCTGAAAGATGTAAAGAAGACTTTTTTTTTATACATTTTAAATTCCACCGAAACCCCTTCAATTCTCAGTGATTATGCATCACTATTAGAGCAATTGCTCCCCATAGGTGTGATTTGGCATCTCAGAGGCTTCCTTGGAAGCCAAGCACCAGAGGTCTGTGTTAAAGGCAGTTGCCAGGGAAATGAACAAAAGCAAGAATCATCAACTACAAAAGCTCAGAGTCCTGACTGCTGAATTACCACCAACTTGTAAATAAATAATCACTACTAAATACAGATAATGTGTTAAAGAGCTAACACTAGTAAATCACTGGTGACAGAGAGCCTAAAGGTAAATCCCTCACACATTGGCACAACCAATTCTTATGATCATATGGTGTCCTAATGTCTTCAGACACACAGAATAAACTGAACAACTTGCTACTTAGCGTTAAGAATGTTTTAAAAATAAATCCTACTCTCTTTGTTGATTTCATTTACATACTGCTTTAGATTTTACTAAGTGGTTATCTGTCTAGTAAGAGAGAGGCAACACTTGGTAAGACTAAATGGAAATCAGTTTTCCATCAAACTTTAGCTATCAAGCTAAATCAACCTGTAGTCTCCTGGCAAAATTAACATCATATAACAGAGACAACACATTTCAGATACATAAATTGTCCAAAATATAGAGAGTTGATTAGGTTTCACAGGTACAAGATCCCTTCTTTTCTTTTTTAAACATTTACGAATAATAAAAACCAAGAGTAGAGCTTTGGAAAGGCTGTTACTAGGAACCAAATATAGTTCTCAAGAGAATAAGGCTGATGGGAGTTGTCCACTCTTCTCTCCCAAAGCAATTTTGCAAATGAGGTACAGTCTAAAATCTTGACGTCATTTGATGGAAATATTTTCAGTAGAACTTTTTAAGGTTTAAGATTACAAAAACTTAATTTAGTTCAATGTTTGTTTTTGCTTTTGCTTTTTTTTTTTTAAATATAGGGTTTTATGACATTTATGCTGTTTCTACACTGGCTTGGTGGCCAGAAAAGAAGGCACAGAATTCTCCACCAGTTTGCAAATAATGCATTTTTCTGCTCCAGTGCACAAACAGCCTTTATTTAACTCAGCACCACATTTTCTAAGGTATGGGCTCTAAATTGTTTGCCATGAAGTTGTAAAATGCCAAAAAATTTAAATGCTGAAGGAAAATGTCAATCAAGGCATTTTCCCATCTGCTACTACTTCTGCAAGTGCTAATTTTATTTTTCCCAATTCCTGAAATTAGAGGTTTCTTAGCCTCACATGGAAGTAAGTTTGAAACTTGCTAAATGTCACAAGAAAAGGTGCAACCCAAGGATGGAATAGAAGGTGTATTGTTCTTGAAGGACACCAATAAAAAGAAGCAGAGGAGCACTGAGACAAAGGAAAAAAGATTTTGTTACAACCCAGACCTCTTGAAAAACACTACACAATGCAAGTAACCAGTGCTGGTACCACACATGCATTAAAGCATTTTTCATGTTTTGGAAATATAATGGAAACATACATCTGAACCACTTAAGATACTTTTGAGAACCAACCAATGTTATGGTATCTACATAGGCAGAAGCTTTAAGATATGAAAACAACATGAAGAAGTTTCAGGTATTGGTACAAATGTAATTCTTGTGATTTAGCATGACTTTAATAAAAGCTTCTACAAGGACTTGCACAGAACCATGACTGACGGATGTAATTTCTGACCTTTCAGTTAGCTCCATCAGCTCACTCAAACACATTTTGAACAGATTATGTACTGTAGTACTTGGTAGACTATACATTAAACAAGAGACTCTGCTCTGAGGCACTGCTTCCCACACTCCATGGGGAAAAGGAAGCAGGAAAAAACAAAACTCATAGAGTTCGACAGCTACCGAGGCAACACTTGCCATTTACAATATAAGCCCAAATATTTTGCAACACAACTATATATTAATTTAATAAAATACACAATATAGCTCTTATACACTCAACAATTTGGCTCATATGCACGGAATCTGCAATAAATCAATAAAAATATGTCATTTGATGTAAACACATTGAATCTTCTTACATTTGCACATTTAAATGGTCATGTGATTTGTGTATGTCTAAGACATTTTCACTTTTCTGAGCTATTTTAGTGTCCACAAATGAATAAGTCATATTATTCATGTTAATATGCTCTGAATATTACCACTCAAAGTTGACTAATTTTCAGAACTTTTCTCTGTGCCAAATTTCAAACGAATTAATCATTTTTTTAAAATATTTTTGTTGGACACTAAAATGCTAAATAGGCATTTTGAATCTTTATATTTTTTTCTCCTTTAATGAAGTGAATTAGTCTACGTGTGTGCAGGACAAAATGGACTATATCTTTTTACATTTAACTTTTTATACGACATGAGGTGTCTTACAAATGACCCAAGTTTTTTTTTTTTTCTTGTTTTTTTGTTTTTGTTTTTGACTAATGAAGTGGAATGTTCTTTGTGTTTATATGTGTGGCAGGTAACTTTATACAGAAATGTTTACCACAAATATGTATTATGTTTGGTGTAGCTTGGACTACTGCAAGGTCTTTTCGGGACTTTCAGTAGAAGCCTGTGATGACTGCTAGAAATCCACCACAGATCACAAATGATGACCCTGCTTTGTATGGGGTTTATAGGTAAACAGTTAAGTCAGCATAAATCACGGAGGACAGTCTTTAGAGTGATCAGAAATACTTCACTTCCCACACTGCATACCTTCCTAACAGATTGTCAAAAGGTAACAACGCCTCCTCCTCCTCCTTTTTTTCTTCTCTCCATTTTCATCTCTCTCTCTCCTCTCTCTTTTTCTTTTCTCTTTAAGCATCATTAATTCTGTCCTAATAGAAGTTTGGTCAAAACAAAACCATTGTTATCTCTGAAAAAGAAACAGCAGTGAAAAGAACATACTTGTGGGCACTTCAGATGTTCACTAAAAGCCTTAGAGCAGCATTGGTCTTTCTTCATCCCTGTAAGATGGGCTGTCCCCAGGAGCGATCATTCTTAAATCAACAGAAGAGACAAGAAAATGCCAATGCGTTTCTCTCTCTCGCTCTCTTTCGCTCTCACTTTCTCACAGCCACAGGGTCATTCCCCCGGCAGTCCTGCAAAAGCTTATCAATTTCTCTCACAACTTCCTCTGCATCCACAGACTCTCGGCCCAGATCCCTGTTGGGGTGATCAAGCTGCTCAAGAACAGCACCCATCTCGCTGGAATCCCGGCTGGCTCTGGAATGCACATCAGCGAAGACCCTTGCCATCTGATCGGAAGCCATGAAGGGAGGGTCTCTTGGTTGCTTACTGGGCGACAGATACTGACTGTCAGTGGGCAAGTACTGACTGCTTGCTTCGGCCAGGGCTCCTGGTTTTGCTTCACAACCATCGAGGGAGCCTTTTGTTGAGGTGCAAGGCTCGATGCATGCCTTGGTAGGGCTGCTAGATGCTGAGGGGACCTCCTGGAGGAGAGGGCTCAGGGCACGTTTGGCTTTTAAATAAGGTTTAACATTGGCAATGAGAATTGTGTGCTCTCGCTTGTCTTTTCCAAATGTACAAAAAGTCTTTTTCCCAGTGGGATTCACAGTTTCGTAAGTCTCAGTCTCAACATTAGCTTCAACTGTGGGTACAAAGAGATTTGTGCGGTAATCTGCGTTTTCAGCCTGATTGGCTGCAGGGAACTGTGGCATCCAACACCTGTCAGAATGACCAAGCACTCGGCATTCATCTGTGCAATTAACACACTCTTCTGGTTCTGCAAAACAAAAGAGAAGACAGCAAATCCAATCATTAGGGTTTCCTTTAAATTTCTACAGAGGCCCTGATCAGCTCTCAGTGGGCTTGCTTGACCTCTGGTCTCTTAATTAAAAAGGAAAAGAAAACAATAATTAAAACATTTCAGGATGGTTGCATAAACCTGCTGGTTGAGACAATGGTTTTATTTAAGTCTATTCTCTAGATATTAACGAATTCCCATAGCCTGCAAAGAAGTAAAAAGTGGCCATTGGAGAATCAATCTCAGTAGAATAGAGCATCATCATAATCTAATGTCCTGGGGATATCAGTTAGTCTTTGTTCTGTATAACCTATCCTGGAAACAGAGAACTTCAAAAAGGATTATCAGGATTAATTTTTCAAATCAAATAGCAGGGAAAAAACTGGATTGCAGACTTCCATGCCAAGTACTAAGCTGCTTTTTTTAAAAAAATGTCTTATCCCTATTTTACTTGTAATTGTTATTTTGATGACAGTCATGAAATAAAAGGTTTTCTTTCAAAGCCTACTTTTCCTACTGAGAGTGGCAAATAGAATTTTCTATCAGAATGTATTATGAATAAGCTTGTCAAAAAGTGCACATTCCTATTTTATTAGATATGCGTATGGATCATGTAATCAGTTTTTTGCACTTCTGTTTTTGGTGTAAGTAGGTGAAAACGGATTTATTCAACAAGTAGAGTTCAGAATAAATGACAATTCACCATTTCCTGTTTTAAATAATAATGCCTTCTGTGAGAATTTTTATTTCTCTCCTTTGCCAATAAACATATGGAGAATCTATGTAAAGCATTCTTTAATGATCCCTATTTTAAAGATGTAAAACAAGGCCATATGAAAGAAAAATCCTTCATAGTGACAACAGTTGTTTATTTTTCTTGACCTCAATATTTTAAACCATAACTTTGAAGTTACATCTTTCCAGTTCTTCCTTTTCTCTTCGAATGGTTGTTTTCATTCTGCTTAATGATCCTTTTTAAATCAGGGACTTTTACTTTCAGGAGAGGATATTTACAATTTACCTCTACATGGTGGGAATAGAATTCCCTACACATTCAGGAGCACTGGGGATTGCCTTTTAATTGATGCTGGATGATCCCTACAAATTTATAGTGTCCTGTTTAAGGGGAAAAAAGGTCTATATAAAAGATATTTGAATTAGAAAACAGCAAATTTAATAGCATTATTTCCAAAGTATCAGATGAGATATGAGTTTATAGTTAAAGTTCATATATAATCCCTCATCAAACAAATAAACAAAAAAATCACAAACTCACAACTTGTTTTATCTCAGTTTTAACAATAAAATAATTTTCCTATGAGTGTACATTTTTTTAGAATCAAAATGGTGTTTTGACAGAACAAAAATATGGAAGTATTTTATAACATGTACAGTCTTGGTGAAATGCTAAAGAATCTTATTGAGGTGGCTATGTCTATTTTATTTTTGTCACTTAAAAATGATTTCCTAGAGGAGAATAGAATATTTACTATTATGTAATGCAGGCAAGATGTCTGAAAGTAGTCTCACACCAAAGTCCACACCTATCCACTCACACATGCTACCTATGGCTGGGAAGGCTCTTTGAGAGGCTTGAACAGCTTGAGCATAAACTAGACACACAGTATATTCTGGGAAGTTTTCTTATGTATTTAAATTAGAGCTAAGATAAAAAAAAACAAATAAATGTCAGAAAAGTTCAATATCAGCTGTTTTCTTTACCTATACTGAATGGGAATCATATATCACTCTATATCTGTCAGTAAGTGTCAGAAACTAGAATATCATTTCATTTAACAATTCTATCCTTCAAAAACATAATAGAAAACTTTATAATCTATTTTTTGTTCATACTTTTGTATCTTTTAGAGCCATGCTTTCTTTCTCCTTAAATTCATTTAAAACCAAAACATTGTCTTTGAAATATGCCAACACAGTTTTTATATTCCAATATTGACTGGCCTTCCATTTCAGCTCTTTGGATAGCCAGTGCTGAATGAATTCAATAAGATTTTAAGAAGAGGGAGAAAGACATAGACTAATGCAGCCATAAGAAACTGTAAATCGACCTTGAATTTGAAACCACCAACATAAAATGATTGTTTGCACTTCACTGCTGAAAATCTGCAGCTTTTTACTCCACTCTTTTATGTCACATCCAGGGGAGCAAATTTTGAGTATTGATTATGATACATTACAAGCTGTTCACCTTGTGATTAGACTGTAATTTTGATGCCAGCAGTTCACAGACAGTGAAGAAAATCGAATGGATGCTTTGTGCAAACGGCAGAGACTATGAGCACAAAGTGAACCATAACTGCCAAGGGTCAAGTTAGAGTTTATGAGAGAGTGAAATCATTTCTGAGAAAACATAAATAAATAGATAAATAAGTAGGTACCCAAAGGAATACAGGTAATCTATAATGAATAACAAGCTGGACACAAAAATATTAGATGCAATGAAAAAAGAAAGTGAGAAAATGGGGAAGAAATAATGCAAAGAGAAAGAGTAAGGGAGGAAAGGAAGAAGAAAGAGTAAAGGAGAAAAGAAAGGAGCGATAGAGGATGGAAGAGAGAGAAGAAAGAAAGGGGGGAGGAAAGGGTGAAGAAGAGATGAAGGGGACACAGAAGAAGGAGGGCTGCCAAAAAAGCAGGCATTTAAGACAAAGTGAGTTATACCAGTAAGATTTCTGTCATGTGTACCTTCTGTTATCTATTTTTAAATCCCTTTAAAGAAGCCAAATGTGTATAATACAGAATAATAATGTGGAGTACTTTTTAAGCCCTGTGGCTCTAAAGGTAGATAATCAAATTATTTTCTGTACTTCGGAAAGAATGAATCCCAGAACAGATACATGGAATTATCAACTACCCAAATGAAAAAGGAAGTAAATCATCTAGGTAGCCACTATTTGCATGGCTTTGATATTTGTATTGCATGGATTATTAATTATTAATTAATTATTGCATGGATTTGATATTTGTATCAGAAAACAAATTCACTGAATAAAAAAAAAAAATTCACCCAATAGTCACATTTTTCTTCTGGTCCAATCTAGACTATTAAGAAATTATTTACCCCTTTACCTTCATCCATTCCTAAATACAGCATGGACACCTTTTTGGGAGAATGTGCCCCTTGCCAAGAAAGAGAGAATAATACCAGTGTCATGCAGATGAGAAAACTGAGAGCTCCACATGGCAAAACAACTTGTTAAGTCCAGCAGCTGGAACTCTGGGCAGTTCTGCCTGGGGAAACTTCAAAGCGTTTAATCTGGTAAAGGTAAGATTCCCTGAAGGACCATGTGACAATCAAATCACTCTAAACACTTGTTCAGTATTAAGAATCATTTTCTATACTCCTGTCACCACATCTATTACACTTGCTCTGAGAGGGAATTATTGAAATGCAGTAACTTGAGTTGGTTCAATTTTGCATCTTAATTTATACGATCTTGTTGCAAAAGATACCAAGTGACTCAACTAACTATTGAATGACTGTAGTTGTTGCTTTTCAGCTGAATCATAAATCCCACACACAATATGAACAAACATGTATACATCTTCATTTCTATGTATTTGATAAACTTCAACTTTCTCCAAGACATTAAACCAAAAATATTTTTTAAAAATTTGAATTGTAAAATTCATAATCTTTGTATTTTTGAATATTAAGATTTGGTAATTGCCACAAGCAAATCACAAGAACATTACAATGTGATGGACATCATTATCCAAAGTTCATGCGTGAAGACATGAATTGGTGTTAACATACTTTATATACAAACAGAGATATGAAGAATTTTGTTCTATTGTGATGCATTCCACTGTCATGTATTTAAAAAATAAAAGCAATTTAAAAAATAAAATATACTCAATATAAATAACATTAATAAAAACTATAAAATATTTTTTAAGTCACAATAATATTCTAAATTCATAATATAAGGGAATGTAAATGAGATTTCATTTTTAATAAAATAATATTTTATATATTTAGTTATATATTAATGAAAATATTATATGTAAATGCACACATGTAAATTAATCTTTTGAATTAAAACATTCAAAAATGCTATTTTAATCTTCCCTTTTCCTCTTCTATCATGAGGGTGAAGTCTATGATCAGGTGAACAACTTACCTACCTCTAAAATCAGAATTTTATATAATGAAAACACATTGTGATTTTAATTTTGCAATGTCACTGTCTCACTAGAAGCACATAGCCATTTCAATGATGGCTGAAAAGTAGCAACAATTAACATACATGATTAAAATTAGAAGTTAGAACTCTTATTTAAATGGGCAAGAATTAACAGAGATCCAATTGGCCCCTGTATGGCCTAAGTATTTTGGAAAACTCAGGGGGAAAACGGCATGTGCTATGATTCTGTGGTGTACATTACAAAGGAAACATGTCTAGAAACCAGCCAAAACATTTCTCACTTCAGAGCAAACCAACCTCTTTATTCTTTTTCTGTCTTGCTTTCAGGCAGGAATATATCTCAAATCAGAAGTCTAAACTTATTTGCCCAGTCTTCAAAGTACTATACAACACCCCCAAGGAGAGCTAGCTGGCAACTAATTTGTTACCACTTAGGGAAATGTTAGAAAACGTAAAAGTATTGCCCACCCTTAGTTGTAAATTTACCGGCTGCCTCAGACCTCACACATATGTACATCTGAAAATACACATATAATTTTCAGCATGAGAGTCTCTCTCACTCATGCATCTGGTATCTGCCTGTGATTTACTTAAATAGATGTCTATGCCACAGAAGTTTGGAAACTGGAATTCATAAATCAAGGCATCAGTGAGGAAGTTCTAAAGTGCTGTGGCCATGGGAGATGGATATTTAAGAGGGAGTTTTCTGTGCTTTATAAGACTGTCAACAAAATGGTTTTATTTCTGTTTTGTAAACAGCTTTAAATAGGAATAGTGCTCTTCTGTTACTGTGGTACTTGGTACTGTTTCTAA